GGGGGGGGGTAGTGTAAGGAATTTTCTCGGCATTCCTTACGGAGCCCGACTACATCGCGTACAGCAACAGCCGTTGTTCGTCCGTTACTGCTAACGGGACTTAGCTAACTTCGCGCGCACTGTTTTGCCAAACCTCGCACTGCTGGCCCGGCCGTGTCAGCCTACGCTTCGGGACTAGCCCGAGCCTCGCTGCCAGCATAGCACTAGCTAGCTCGCACGCACCGCGTTACCGTTTGCATGATTTGCGTATAAATGTTCGCTCATGCATTCGCTCACATCTTTGTACCCGTTTGACACCTTAGTGCAATTCTCGTTACTTCGATTCATTGCACCCGTAACAAGCTGAGTGTTATGTGTTGTGAAAGGAAAGAGTGCGGAGAATTCAATAATGCGGAAGTGATTACAACGTCTGAGAACACAACGAGGCCTAGGACTAATATAGCGAAGCTAGCCAGGCCGAGGTGGCGGGGTCGCGAGATGGTTGGGTGCAGGTTCGGGGTTTGGAAAAACCGAAGGCGACGCGGTGGTGGCTCGGAAGGCGAGGTTGGTGGACCGAGCCTGGTTTTCCGAAAACCGGGGTTGTACGCGTACAGTGTGACCGAGTAAGGAATCCGGAAAAATTCCTTACTCTGAGCAAAGAGCAAACTTTGCCACTGCCATTGTAACGAGAGGGATAAATGTTCTTATACATTACATATACTTTTCGTATGAGTTTCTTTTCACACGAAAGAGCTTCCCGCATTTTCTAGTGTATGATGATCTTCTGGATTCCGATTCTAGTTATTATGTAATATGTACCTTATATTTCTTGTGTATGAAAGCTGGACAGTTACTATTATGTTTATTCATATGCCAATTATTGGTTGCCACCTGATGAGAGACGTGGGTCCTTCCAAATCGGATTTCTGCTTGTGGTTCGGATGTCCAAATTGACAATTCAAACCCCATGCTTGCGAACCATCTGTGCATGAAATGGTATCCCGTTGCGAGCAGCTTACAAGGTTTTCGCTTTATCGCAAGACGTCGTGCATGAAGGCACCACACTCCCAGCACATCTTGATGGGACTTCGGCGCTCTGTGACTGGTGGAGACGCAGCGTTTTCGATTCAAAATTCAATTTCGAAATTCGCAAAAGCAAGCCCCTCGAGACTTGGGTTGGAAGCAGGAATGAGGTGCATCAGCAGCACCAACACAACAGCGGCCAACAGCAGCGACAGAGGTAGCAGAAGAAGCGTCAGCGCGACACTAAATCAGGAACCAGTTTCCCTTTTCCTCGACACTCGAACTCCTTCACTGCCTCCCTCAGACCCTCAACTCCCGCCATCGTAAACCGTCCGCTTGCCAATTCCTTCCCAACCCCTCTCTCTATTCCTCATTTTACGGTTTCGTCAGTTTCTTCAGCACACCTCGCGGCAAGTGCCAGCGTGCCAGCTCCCAGGCTCCACCCAGCCCTTTTTCAATGGTGGGATACAATCAGCTGATAACATATTCCCAAATCACGAGCAACGCCTTTCCAGGGTAGAAACCTCTCTAATTAGTTTCACAGCTTACTCACCTAGCAATGTCGGCAGCTCCCGTCGTGCGCGTGACTCGCGGGGACAGAAGCGTGGTTACGCGCTATGAAGTCGCGTTCCTCGTGCGGCAGTACTTGCAGGACTGCCAATTCGTCCGGACACTCGATGCGTTCCAGTCGGAAGCATCGAACTTACTCGCTCCGATGCAAGCGGTGCGGCATCTTTCTATCTTCCTGCAACTATCTAGTTTCACGTGCCGGCTTCCTGGCCAACTTGTTACCTCTAATTTCATGGAGTTTTCTAGTATGCCGTTCACCGGCGGCGCTTTCTCTTCTGATTAGCATCCTGTGGTTCTGGTTCTCACCGTTGCTAGTGCTCTCGATCTCTTATCTGACCTTCTCATCCCACTCCCAACTTGCACAGGCGCCCGCGCCAGCGAAGAGCCTAGAAGTCATCTTAAGCGACTACATAGTGCTCTTAGAGGATCGCACGGCGATGGATAGTCAGAGGCGGCACGCGGACAGGCTGGTTCAGTCTCTACAGATGGCCATGGAGGCTTATAATGACGGCGTGGGCCCCGCCGCGGGTGCTGCCGCCGTTACAGCGGTTACCACTGCTCACGCCGCCGGACCCGCGGGACACGCGGGACACGCTGGGGGGAATGTTTCTGCAGGGCACGCGCAACCGGCGGGGATGCACGGGAACGCGCAGCAGCAGGTGCCGGTGACGCAGCAAGAGCAGCAGATGCAGCACAACGGGCAACAGCAAGGGCAGCAACAGCAATACTACCAGCAACAACAGCAGCAACTGCAGCAGCAGCAGCAGATGCAGACGCAGACGCAGCAGCAGCGTGTCCAATACATGCAACAAGAGCAGCAGGCGCCTGCAATGAACCAGCCACAGAAACAGCAGCAGCTCTCAGCAGGTCGCCAGCACCAGCAACAACAGCCTAGCGCGCCTGGTACGTGCGTTCTGCTGAGTGTTCTTCTACCCCCAGAAGTGCTGATAAAGATGGGTTTTATTGCAGCATACCACTTGAGAGCTCTCGGTCTTAAGTAGTTCCAGGATTGTCCAGGTAAAGACATTTTGCTGTTTATTCTCCCACTCACATCCATGCCCTCCATATATCATTCGGCCGTCTTGGTTCTTTGTTACGTCTAGAAGTTACGCTGCATCTGGTGCTTTCATACTTGCTGTCTCTTGTCTTCCTCGCTCCGTTCATCGCTAGCTTCTGCTAAAACCCTTTCTTGTTTTACCCTCTTTCCTCTCCGCCCCCCCCGCCCCCCACTCTCCCCCCTCCCCCCCCCCCCCCCCTCCTCCCGGTATGCTCCACCGTCCGCTGTCATAACACCAGCGAATTCGCCGCCGCATTTCCCCGCATCAAGCGTTCCGCCTCAGCAGCCGGCGCCACCGCAGCAGCAGCAGCAGACACGGCCGGCCGCGTCTCCTCCACCGCAAATGGCGCCAGTTCCCCCGAAGGGCCCACAGGCGCGGGTCCCCGCCAAACCAGGGCGGCGCAGGCAGGTAAAAGGGGCCGTTACAAACGGGGATGGAGACGCGGAGATGGGACCAGGGGCGGGAGCGGGAGCTGCCGGGGGGAAGCCCGCGCAGGGGCATGGCGGAAAGAGGGGGAAGAAGGCGCAGACTATCGGGGGAAATGCAGCGGGGGGAGGGGCGGGCGGCGGTTCGTTGGCCGCAGCTGCTGCAGGAACAGGTGGTTTGACCAATGGAGGGGAGGCATCTGTGGCTTCTGTTTCACATGCTGACGTGGCAACAAAAGTGAGCAAGGTAGAGGCAACTCATCAGCAGCAGCACGCGCAGCAGGGTCAGCACCACGCTGGCTTGCCACATCATCAAACGACTCTGCCTTCCAAACAAGCACCTGCGACCACATCTCATGTTCCCGCTCAGGTTGCAGCTCAGGTTTCCGCAGATCAGGTGAATGCAACAGACACATCGGTCCACCCTATACCAAGCGCAGGAGCAGGGCAGAAACCGGTGATGGCCGATAACCCCACGCTGCCTACTGCTGCTCCTGTTTCTGCTCTTCCCTCCTCCACCCATTCTTCGTCTCCATCTGCCCCTCCTCCTGTTACCGCTCTGCCAGTGGCGTCCCTACCGTCTTCTTTGGCTGCTGCTGGTCCAACCACTGTTTCAAGCACTGTATCTGCCACCCCTTTAAATCCAGCCCCTGCTGCTGCTTCCACCACTCCTCCCATGTCTCTTACCGCGTCTGACGGGGCAACTGGCGCCAGTGCTGGTACCGTAACGGGGGCCACAGTTGCCGCTGCTCCTGTTCCTGCGCCTGTCCCTGTGCCCCTCCCTGCGCCGCTTCCCGCCGCTGCGCCAACCTACACAGGTTGCTCGGTATTCCCTGAGCTTGCTGTTGGTGAGACGTCCACTAGCAGAAGCCTGCTCGCGTCGTTTGCTGGCAATGCTAACACGTCGGCGACAGCAGCACCAACAACAGCAGTACCAGCAACAGCAGCACCAACAAATACAATAACAACAACAGCAGTAGCAGCAGCAGTAGCAGCAAAATCGGAAGCAGCCCCTGTTCTAGCGAACGGCACAGCAGCAGCAGCAGCAGCAGCAGCCGCGGAAAATAACGCTTCAGCAGCACCACTCACTCTACCTCCTGCTACCCCTGCTGCTAACACTGTTACTCCCACCTCTACCACTGTTGCAACACCCAGAGCTCCTGTCGCTAGTCCTAATCTTCCCACTGCTGGTATCTCTGCTCCTAGTGGAGACACCCATCCTGCTGCTTCCTCCCCTTCCGTGCCGTCTGCTGCGCCTATCGGTGCCCCTGTTCATCCTGTTCATACCCCTCACCCTGCCCCAGCTGCCGCTAACGCTGCAACTGCCGTTGCTGCCGTTGCTACTGCTGCTGCTGCTGCTGCTGCTGCTGCCGTTGCTGCTGGTGCTGCTAGTGCTGCTGCTGCAGTCGCTGATGCCCCCAGTGGTTTGAGTTCTCAGCAGCAAGCGCAGCAGCGACCACCGCCAACACCATCACAAGTACAGCCACAGCCACAGCAGCAGAACCAGAAGCAGCAGCAGCAGCAGCAGCCGCTGCAGCAGCCGAATTATTCACAGCTAGTCCCGTGCCAGTCAAGCAAACCACTTCCTAACCCACCCCAATCTCCACACCAAGCCAAGCTCGCCCCATCCCTTCTCCCCCCACCCATGCGCCGGTCCTCCCCCCGCAAGCAATCCACGCCTCAGAAGCGCCAGTCCTCCGCGCTTTCCCCCCTTTCCCCCGCCAAAACCTCCCCGCCTCTGAAACTCGCGCGGATCGGGACCAGCACCAGGTGCAGCGCTAGCATCAGCAGCACCTGCAGCGGCGGCAGCAGCAGCAGCAGCAGCCCTTTGAAATTCCTCTCCCGAGCTTACCATGCACAAGCGGGAAATTCTCCTGTGCGGTTGGGTCAAGTATCCGGGCTTGCAGCTATAGGGGTGATGAAAGCAGGCGCGGGTGCAAGTGGGATGGTGGGGAATGGGGTGGGAAGAGGTGGGGCAGGAGCGGCTGTAGCGGCTGTAGCAGCTGGGGCTGCGTGTGTGGCAGCGATGCCTGTGCCGTCCAGCCCACGGAAAGTTTTCAGGGTGCCCGGAATTAGTGGAGGGGAAGATGTTTTTGGTGCTTTACCTGGTAGCACCGCCGCCGCCGCCGCCGCTGCTGCTGCAGTAGCTACTGCTGGTGCTGGTGATGCGATGAGTGAGGGAGCAGAAAGAGGGGGTAAAGTAGGGGGTCTTGCTGTCTACACTGCGGTTATGAGCAGTCCCAGCTCATCTGAAGCTCCTTTCACTACGATGCTTGAAAGCCCTGTTGGGCAGGGGGGGAGGGGGCTGGGGCTGGGGTTTGGAATTGACGGTACGAGTCCGAAGAAGTGGCGCGGAAGAGTGGGGATGGAGGCACGGCAGGAGACAAGTGGTGAAGTTATGCAAAGGGAACGGATGCGAGGTGATGTGACAAAGAAGGGAGAGAGCGTGCAAGTGAAAGGTAGAGGGAGTCAGCATGACAGGAAAAATGGGAGTGATTTGAGGGGGGTTATGGCTGGTAGCAAGGGGGGTGGAAGAGGAGGCAGCCCCTTGGGAAGGCTAAAAGGTGGAGGGAATGTGGGGATGAGTGAGGTTCTGAAAGGAGGTGAAGGGAAGGAAGATGAGAGAGTGAGAGAGGAAGGGTGTGAGGGAGATGGTGAGGGGGATGAGGAGGAGGAACATGAGGAGGATGGAGATGGGGAGCAAGAGAGTGGGGGAGACGGCAGCATGAGTACAGGATCAGGGGGGGTTTCAGGGGAAGAAGCATCAGGAGAGGGAGAGGGGTTGGCAGGGGGGTCGGGGGAAGCATCGGGGGAAGCATCAGGGGAAGCATCGGGGGAGGCATCAGGGGAAGCGGGACCGGGCGGCGAGGATTTCGATCAATGGTTTCATTCCTTGGTGTTAGACGAAGAGGATGTGATGGCAATTGTGGGAGACTATATCGCGAATGACGATGACCTTCCGGCTCGCATTGCGGATTGCATCAATTCTGCGAGCATGCGAGGGAGAGAGGAGGAGGAAAACATCAGGTGAGCGTGCGGGTGGTGCTGGGTGCTGGGTGATGGTGATGGTGTTGGTGATGGTGATGATGTTGGTGCTGGTGATGACGGGGTTTGCTTTGTGGTTGCCTAGAAGAGAGGATGAGGAAAAAGATTGAGGGGGGGAGGAGGGGCAGGTTGTGCGGGTGTGCTTGTGTATTTTAAAGGCGCCTTTAAGATTGGGAGAGTGGGAGAGGATGAGGACTGCAGGTGAGGGGGATGGGGATGGTCATGAGGATGAGACAGTTGCAGCGATACGGAAGAGTGGAAATTTCACGACAGGCCCCACTCTCACTCTCTTGTATCTTACCTTTGCTTTATCCATGTCGTTTCGCAACTTCTTGTCGTGTGTCCCCCTTGCAGTCTACCAAGTGGAGAATTAGTGGAGGACATTCTAGCGAGTATAGAGACCAACCCCCAGCTCGGGCCAATGCTGGGGCTCATGCCACCCAGCGGTCAGTCCGGAGTAGTGTCTTCACAAGGACCAGGGCCTTCGATGAACAACGACGCCACAGCGGAACCGTGAACTAATTTTTCTTTGGGTTTCTGCTGCCGTATTTTCTTTTCTTTCCTTTTCTTTTCATGTCTTTTTTCTCCTTTACTACCCTTTTGTACGGCACGAGGGCTACAAAGAGGTGGTTATGAATGTAGTCCGTTGTTGGGCATCTATTAGCTGCTGTTACGAGTGCAATTGAGTGAACGAACGAGAATTGCACTATCGAAGCAAGAATACAAATGAGCGAAGGCATGAGCGAACATTATATAGCGAAACTACCGTGGTAACGGTAATGGTCGCGCGACGAGCTTGGGACTGAGGTTGGGAAAGTGTCGAAGCGTAGGTCCGGAGCGCGGGTTACCAGCCGAGTCGTCAGGTCGGGATGCGATGTGCGAAAAAGGCGGGATGATGAATGATGCGATGGTCGCGAGTGGTAACGGTGCTGACTGAGGTGCTACAGTGATGTACGCGTTGAGCAGGGACGCGAAGTAAGGAAAAGGGAATTTCCTTACACTACCCCCCCCTCCTAAGGAGGTCCTCCTTATGAAAGCGCGTGGATGTCTCGGAAATTGCGGCTACGCAGGTAGTCGGTGACGACGGGGTGATTTTCAACTTTCTCCAGGGGAACCCAATTGTCCTCGGTGGGGGTACGATCTTTCCAGCGGATCAGAAACTCCACTTTTCGGGCTCCTCGAGGGTCGCGAACTCTGTGGCTCAGGATCTTGTCGGGGGTGATGACTGGTTCGGTTGGTGGTCGTGTCATGCTGGTGGGTCGATGTCGTGGGAGTTGGCTGGTGGATGGCACGTAAGGGCGAAGTAAGCTGACGTGGAACGAGGGGCTGACGTACCAGTCAGCAGGGAGGAGGAGGTGCGCGGTGACTGGCGTAACCATGTGACTGATTCGAAATGGCCCATAGTATCGAGGGCGGAGTTTTGGAGTGATGGGCAGGCGGAGGTTCTGAGTGTCGAGTAAAACGAGGTCGTCGGGCTGATAAGTAACGGGTCTGCGATGGCGATCGGCGTTGCGTTTAGCGATGATGTTTGATTTCTTGATTGCTTCTGCTGCCCTGGTCCGTGCTGCTTGCAGAATCTCGGCGAACTGTTGTGCTCGTGGGACGGGGTTGTCGGAATTTGGTGTCATGGGTACTGTTGGGTCCTGTCCGTAATTCAAGTAAAACGGCGACTGTTGCGTCGTGGCTGATGGTGCGTTATTGTATGCGAACTCGATGAGTGGCAGCTGCTGTTCCCACGTATTCGGATCGTCGCACGTGGCTCGAATCAGTTGCTCCATGGTCTGATTTGTCCGTTCCGTCTGTCCGTCGGTTTCGGGGTGATAGGATGAACTGAACTGTAAGCGCGTGCCGAACTGCTGCCACAGGTTCCGCCAGAAGTTGCTTGTAAATTTCGTGTCTCTGTCGCTGATGATCGAAGCGGGTATCCCGTGCAGTCGAACGACGGTGGTGATGAAGAGTCGGGCGGTTTCCTCGGCTGTGATTGATTTCCTGCATGCTGCGAAATGAGCCATCTTCGTTAGTCGATCGACGACGACCAGGATCGCGTCATTCCCACTCGCCCCAGCTGGTAACCCCGTGACGAAATCCATCGTCACCTGCTGCCAAGCACGCTCTGGGGGCGGGATGGGTTGTAAATGTCCCGCCGGCCGCTTCCTGCTTGACTTCATGAGCTGGCAAGTGGGGCACGATGCCACGTGTCGTTGCACATCAGTCAACATTTATGGCCAGTAGTAGTACCGCTGCAGCTGCTGCCGTGTTTTTTCTACCCCGAAATGTCCCGAGGTAACTCCGTCGTGTGCTTCCTGTAACAGTAGTTCCCGGAGTAGCGTGTATCCTGGTACCCAGATGAGGTCGGTTCCAGCTTTTACGTAATAGACTCCTTTTGCCGCTGCGAATTGCTGTGAGTTGCCTCCTGTAAAGAACGGGTCTGTTTGATATCCGTGGGTAAATAGGCTTGTCAGTAGCGGGCTGGTCTGGGCGAGTAGTATCGCGTGGATCTGGGCAGTGGGGCGGGTCAGTGCGTCGGCGATATTCGAGGCTCCTTTTTTGTATGTGACCGTATAGTGAAAATTCGACTCGAGGAAATCGAGCCATCGAATCTGTCGTGGGTTGAGGTGGGGCTGTGCACGGAGGTACTGTAGAGATCGATGGTCTGTCCGTACTGTCACGTCTGCACCGGTCAAGTCGCAGCGCCACACTTTGAATGCGTGCACGATCGCGAAATGCTCGCGATCGTGTATAGGGTAATTTCGCTCAGGCGGATGTAGTTTGCGTGATTCGTAGGCGATGGGTTGGAGGCCGTCGCCGAAGTCCTGTAACAGTACAGCTCCGATGGCGATGTCACTTGCGTCGGTAACCACTTCGAAAGGGCGGTGGGGATCAGCGATGCGTAGAACGGGTGGTGAACAGAGAACGTTTTTCAGGGCAGAGAAGGCAGCATGCTCTTTCTCTCCCCACGTAAAAGCGACCCCCTTACGCAGTAAATCAGTGAGTGGGGCTGTTAAACGTGCCATGTCGGGCTCGAACCGTCGAACGTAATTAACAAAACCTAAAAAACTCTGCAGTTCCGTGATGTTCGTCGGGGGGCGCCACGCTTTTACCGTATCCAGCTTCTTTGGGTCAATCTCAACCCCAGCCTCCGAAATGACGTGACCTAAAAACTCTAGCCTGTCCCGAAAAAACTCGCACTTGGAGCCCTTGGTGAGTAGCCGATGTTCCGCCAAAACCTTAAAAATTGCTTCAAGATCCACTAAGTGCTGCTGCTTATCCCGGTTGTAAACTAGAATATCGTCCAGGTAAACTATCACGCATTTATCCAAAAGTGGTCTAAACGCCTCGTTCATGGTCATCTGAAATGTCGCAGGCGCGTTCGTCAGCCCGAATGGCATTACTGTATACTCGAATGACCCGTACCTAGTCCTAAATGCTGTTTTGGCGCAGTCCGATGGTTCGACCCGAATCTGATGGTAACCTCCCCGTAAATCTATTTTCGAAAAGACTCGTGCTGTTCGCAGTTGGTCGATCAGTTCGTCGGCGCGGGGGATGGGGTATCGCGATTTGACTGTTACCCTGTTAAGCGCTCGGTAGTCGATGCACATGCGGAACCCTCCGTCTTTTTTCGGTGTGAACAGTATCGGTGCGGCGAACGGTGACGAGCTCGGTCGGATAAACTGCTTCTCTAACAGGTAATCTAACTGCTTCCTTAACTCGTCGAGCTCGGGCTGTGTCAGTCGAAATTGCCGCTGTACAGTTGGCTGTGCCCCCGGTTCTAACTCGATCCTATGGTCGTGCGCCCGCTGAGGTGGCAATCCTTGTGGTAAATCATCCGGAAATATCCCCTGGAACTGTTTCAGTAGTGCCTGTAGTTCGGTCGGTACAGTTGCCAGCAGTTTCTCCAAATCACTCGGCTGCTCATCTTTTTCTACGAGTGCGATATCCACTGCGTACACGTCAGCACCAGCAGCGACAGCCCGTTTCATCGTGATGGCGTTGACCTGGACCGTCGAAGATGTGGGTGGCTGCCAGCGAGGTAGAACGACCCAGTTACCACTACTTCGCACTGTGCAGCTCCCCGTCGTCCAGTCGATTTGTGGGTTGTACCGTCGCTGTGTCAGAACATATCTATAGCTTATACTGCTGTGTAGGCTGTAGTGGGGTATCCCATAGGGGGTACAACCCAGTTAGGGTTTCATATTTGTACTCCTTTCATTCATAGTCCATTCATTCCTGTTTTCCTACTATCACATGGTATAGAGCGGGTCCTACCTTAGGACCGTTGTCTGGGCCCACCGACGCGCGCCCCGAGGCGCGCCCTTTTTTTTTTAGCGACCCCTCGGGTCGCCCTTTCACTCGCGGCCCCGCCGCCTCCTCTGACGCGGCTTTGCCGCCTCCCCTGACGTGGCCCCGCCGCCTCCTTTAACGCGGCCCCGCCGCCTCCCTTGACGCGGCCCCGCCGCCTCCCTTGACGCGGCCTCGCCGCTTCCCCTGACGCGGCCCCGCCGCCTCCCCTGACGCGGCCCTGCCGCCTCCCTTGACGCGGCCCCGCCGCCTCCCTTGACGCGGCCCCGCCGCCTCCCCTGACGCGGCCCCGCCGCCTCCCCTGCCGAGGCCCCGCCGCCTCCCCTGACGCGACTCCGCCGCCTCCCCTGACGCGGCCCCGCCGCCTCCATTGACGCGGCCCCGCCGCCTCCCCTGACGCGGCCAAGCCGCCTCCTCTGACGCGGCTCCGCCTCTGCTGCCGACGGCCCCGCCGCTGCACTCTACGGCCCGCCGCTGCACCCTGCCGGCCCGTCGCTGCTCCTGCCGGCCCGCCGCTGCACCCTGCCGGCCCGCCGCTGCTCCTGCCGGCTCGCCGCTGCACCTACCGGCCCGCCGCTGCACCCATCGGCCCGCCGCCTCTTACGGCCCGCCACTTGCACCTGCCGGCCCGCCGCTGCACCTGCCGGCCCGACGCTGCACCTGCCGGCCCGACGCTGCATCTCCCGGCCGAGCCGCCCCAGCAGCCGAGCCGCCCGGGACCCGAGCCGCCCTGCCGCCGAGCCGCCCGGGAGCCGAGCCGCCCTGCACCCGAGCCGCCCAGCCGCCGAGCCGCCCGGGAGCCGAGCCGCCCTGCACCCTAGCTGCCCAGCCGCCGAGCCGCCCGGGAGCCGAGCCGCCCTGCGCCCGAGCCGCCCAGCCGCCGAGCCGCCCGGGAGCCGAGCAGCTGTGCACCCGAGCCGCCCGGTCGCTGAGCCGCCTTTCTGCTGACTGCACGACCTGCCCTGCCTGGTGAGCACTGTCCCACTGACACTGCGAGCTCTTTCCCTACTGCTTGCACTGCGTCGCTGTCGTCACCATGGCTACCCCTAGTGTCCTAGCTTTTGACGCTGAGGGTCGCGCCATTGATTTTGAGGTCTGGTTAGACGACCTGCAGCTGTTCTTACAGTGCGACAGGGCTGACGACCTTTCTCTCTTTGACCTCACCTCTGGCGCCTCTCCTGCCCCTGCTGCTGATGCTGATCCCGCTGTCCGCTCTAA